GAATAGAAAAAACAAACTAATAAATATGATAAAAGAAAAAAAATCTAATTTAAAATATAAATAATATTAAAATAACTCTCAGTTTGTGGAATTATTTATTAAATAATTATTTACAAAATAAATTTTAATTATGAAATATGAGTATTCATGCAGTGTTATGAGTTTTTGCAGCAAAACTATTTTGATTTAATTTTAAATGTTCACCTTCATTGCTATTTGCAGTATACAGTCAAACCAAAATGTATTCAGACACCTTCAACATTTCTCACATTCTCACAGTTTATTCGCTAGCTATAGTTTAGAAAATAGTAATAAAATATAACAAGAACTCTGTCTCACAAATGAATTAGCTGTTAAATTTAAGTACACAATTAGATAATACCAATTTAGGTTAACCAATTATGCTTAATTTTGTTCAGACTGTGGTGTAAAAAGGTCATATTAGCAATTAAAGGAAAATCACTTAAGCAAAACATGGTCAGGTCAAAGTGTCTGAATAATTTTTGGTCCCAAATTTTTTATAAATTTTACTGGTAGTCCACTATATGAAGAATTTATGGGTATGTCACAGTTTATTTTGCTATCCTCACTTACATAAATGAACTACAGTGTCCTGCATCCACTAGTAAAAAAAAAAAAAATCTAATTATATCCGGTGAAAAATTATAATTGTTGGTTTTACTGTATACGTTTAAACATGTTTCTAGAGTTTTTCTTTGCTGCTGCATCCTTTAGCTTGCATACTGGTGTTTGACTTTTTTATTTTCTGTAAAGCTGCTTTAGAATGATACATTTAAGTTTCATATAAATTAATTTTAAATGTATTAAAATTGCTCTTTATAATACTTTGAAAAAAGACACCGTTTACTCAAAATTTCAATATATTTTTCAGTTAATACTTTAATAATAAACTAGAATATTGTCTGTTGTTGTGTTAAAAGCTTTGCAGGAAGAGAGATGCCGGAACCTTGCTCAGATGGAGGTTATTTGATTGGACTCACAGCCTGAGGCAGTCCTGTTTCTCCTATAAGCGCTTTGTGAAAACTTGTGTGCTGATCTCTTCTTCCCAGCAGATTGCAGATGTAAATTGATGGGTTTCTGTAGAGAACAAATGCTGTTGTCGTTCACGCCGCTCTTGGTAAATAACATGCGTTCTTAGAAAAGAAACGCGGACTGCAGTGTATTCACATGTGGTTGTCTGCTTGTGTGTCTACATGTGCCCTCCGATTTCTGCCACTATCAAAGTGCCGCTAACAATAGACCGCATTGTATCTCGCAGCAGACAGCGATACGTGTTGCCAGGTAACCACACCTGACATTGATCTGAAGGTACGCTGCCATAAAACCTCCTTTTATTAACTCTACCCAGGAGACGTGCTTTTATTGTAAAAGTGCGATCACCTTTTTTGGCAAAATTCTGTGGGCGAAAGAAGCTCAGTTGTCAATAGTGTAGCATTACATGAATCACCTCTCACAAAGAAGTGACTTTTAAACCAGGCAACTTTCTGCTGGTCGACATGGTGAATTTGCGCGACCAACTTTAACACAAGCAACTTTTTTTGCGCAGATTCCTGTTGACAAGACTTCGCCCCCAAAATTTCACCGAACAACGGTAAATGTGACTACACCTTAAGAGTATCATAACCA